TTAATCACTGTGCTTTAATTATGTTCAATTTGTAACAATGAAAATACATCCTGCATATTAGATATTTACATTATGATTCATAACAGTAGCAAAATTACAGTTATGAAGTAGCAACGAAAATAATTTTATGGTTGGGGGTCACCACAACATGAAGAACTGAATTAAAGGGTTGCAGCATTAGGAAGGTTGAGAACCACTGGTTAGAACCTTGTAGGCGTTTAAGCGTTTTCATACTTTATCTTTGTTCCTCGAAATCACTGAGGACTCTCAGGGCAGAGAATGATATGACCAGATTTAAATTTTAAAAGCTTACTTTGGCCGAAACCGGTTTGGCTCAGTGGATCGAGCATCGGCCTGCGGACTGGAGGGTCCCAGGTTTGATTCCGGTCAAGGGCATGTACATGGGTTGCGGGCACATCCCCAGTGGGGGATGTGCAGGAGGCGGCTGATCGATGTTTCTCTCTCATCAATGTTTCTGACTCTCTATCTCTCTCCCTTCCTCTCTGTAAAAAATCAATAAAGTATATTTAAAAAAAAAAAAAGCTTACTTTGGCTACAGAGTAAAGAATGCATTTAAAGAAGTAAGGATGTCTACACGATAGAAGATAGTATTTTGAACCAGGGTGGAGGTGGTACAGATAGGAAGAAGTGGATGAATTTAAAAGATATTTAGGAAGTAAGACCAATAGGTAAAGAAGATAGAGTGGATATAGGGCATGAAGAAAAGGGAGGGGCCAAAGATTAAAAGGCTTAAGAAGATGTCAGCAGATGAATTTGGAGAGAAAAAGCAATAGAAAAAGAAAGGCATGCTAGGCTCGAGGACGTGTTACAGATGATAGAAGGGGAGTATAAAATAGGATGGTGGCTTGTGGTTTCTATGGCTGGCTCATTGGGCACACTTGAGGAGTGATAGAAGAAAGAGCTGGAGAAATTGCCTGTATCATAGAGTGTTGTATGCCAGGCCAAGGAATTGGACACTAGTCTGTAGGTGATGAGAAACAACTGAAAGGATGTAAGAAAGGATGTAATGGGATCAGAAAGGTAATTCTGCAAATGGTATTGAGGATGGCTGAGACAGGAGGAAAGTTGAATGATGGAGCCCAGCTAGGAAGTGAGGGTGGAGGATGAGTTAGGAACTAAACCATGGCTTTAGTGTAGGGACAGAGAGAAAAAAGAGGTTAAGTCCCATTTGGGCATGTTATGTTTGACATGTCCAGGAAGTACAGAGGTCAGGAAAGAAGTCAAGGCTGAAAATTAAGATTCCGGGGACTGGGGTGGAGTGGGTTAGATCACCAGGGGCCTGTGTGGAATCTAAGAAGGATCTTGGGCAGGAGACATTTAAAGGATTGTTCAAAGAACAGAAAGACTCCAAGGAAGGTGCAAAGAGAACCTGGAATCAGGGACTTGTAGCAAAGAGGCCAGGGAACTAGTTCCAAAAGGATAAAGCGGTCGCTGGCATGGAATGTCAGAGAGAGGTCCTGCAAAGACTAAAAACTCTCCATTGACTTTAGCAATGGAAGTGCTATAAACACACGCGTTACAGAGAGCTGCTTCGCAGTGGGTTTGGTCTTCAAGCGACTGTGGAGACACAGATGAAAGTACACTGTGCTCTGCTCCAAATGAGTCCGTCCCCCCAAGCAGAGCTGGAGAGCTCTTGTTTTATGGCCTGACCATCCATCCCCTGGGCAGAGTCCCTGCTCTGCTTTTCAGGAGGGACCCCTTCAGTCCGAGTGGCCCTTGCAGAGGGAGAGGGATGGAAGCCCCTGGTCTTTTCAGCTCTCCCCTCATGATTGGGAATCAGCATCCGCAGACCCTGGATATCCTTGGCCTCCTACCCTTGGAGTAGAGCTCCCACCAACAGTGGGGACTGGCTGGGGGGAGGGGGACCAGCCCTCTGGGCCTTGCCTGCCTAGAATAGAGCTTCTGAGGAGGGATAAGAGACACTAGCGGTCTGCCCTTCCCAGGGTGACACCGTAGCCAAAGACAGAGCTGGAGGGAGGGAGCCCCATCCTTTGGCCACACCTGCCCAGAGTGCACAAGAGTAAAATTCTTGGAGCAGAGCAGGTCATGGCTCAAATGCCACAGCTTCTGTTCTTACTGAGGCTGAGTAGATTTACTTGAATGAATGTTTTTCATTTGCTATATGCCCTTAGGACAATTTCCAGAGACTTTACATACTTGACTATTATTTTTAACAATTAACTTATTTTTTTAAGGAGGGCGGGGTCAGCTAAGAGACTTACTCTGCTATTTCAGAGGTCCTTCTCTTTCTACTATTTTTGCAACTTCCTGTGAATATATAATGATTTTCCCCCCAAAAAAGTGTTTGATTAAACATAGTCATAATTGAATGGTAGCATTATAGGAACCATTACAATTTAGTCTTGCCATTCTAAGATAAAAGGGAAATGAGAGTATTTCATCTACCATATTTTGCAAGCATATCGGCAAACAGAATATGAATATTCTGTTTTGTGCTGACTGGAAGGTACGTACCCGGAAAGGACATTCTGCCTCAATCTAGTGCAGTGGTCGGCAAACTGTGGCTCGCGAGCCACCTGCGGCTCTTTGGCCCCTTGAGTGCAGCTCTTCCTAAGCCTTAGGAATACCCTAACTAAGTTAATAACAATGTACCTACCTATATAGTTTAAGTTTAAAAAATTTGGCTCTCAAAAGGGTACTCCTAAGGCTTAGGAAGGGCCATACTCAAGCTCAAGGGGCGCCGCATGTAGCTCACGAGCCACAGTTTGCCAACCACTGATCTAGTGGAACACGTGAAGAGTTCATGCGCCTCTGCCATGTGAGGGCTGTGCACGTGTGTGCGTCCTCTTCACTGGGCATGTCTTCATCCCCTGCAGATTCGTTCCATTGCGTGGAATGCAGATGACAGCAAACTGATTTCTTGTGGCACAGACGGTGCTGTATATGAATGGAATCTGTCCACAGGAAAGAGGGAGACGGAATGTGTGATCAAGTCCTGCAGCTACAACTGTGTAACCGTCTCCCCTGATAGCAAAATTATCTTTGCTGTTGGATCTGACCACACCCTCAAGGAGATCGCCGATTCTTCCGTGAGTCTGCCTGCCCCTGCCCGGCCGCTGGGCTGCCGCACTGACCTGCAGGGGACAGCCCCTGTGGTTACCACAGAAAGAGGGCTGTGAGAACAGGGGCTCTTCTTCATGGAGTCACACCTGGCTCCCCATTCCTTTTCGGTCATCTCAGTTCTTGTTACTTCTGGAATTTTCTGCCCAGGGCCCTACCTGATTGGGCTAAATTGTGGGGCCCTTTTTCACTTGGATTTTGCTTACTAGACCTTCTCTCCACCCTCTAGGCATGGAGCTCAGCAGCATTCGAACCTGCACCCTTACTCTAGATCTGCACTTACATTCCTGGGGTAGAAGCAAAACTGTAGTTATTGCTGTTACCTAGGCTTGCCACCGTATTCATCTGAGACCCCCAAACTCCGAAATGGTGGCAATAGCTCCCAGTGGTTGAGGGAGGAGAGAAGAGCTCAGCAAGGATGCCGCCTCCTCACGTGGCTGTGTCCTTCTCCAGGAGCCCAGCGGCAGCTGGTCTTCATTGATTTCTCTCGCTTTCCTTTGGTGCTCGTCACTCTCCGGGTCCTGATACCTGGGGAAGGACAGAGATACCACAGCAGCGAACTGACCCGAGGCAGGTTTCCCCAGGACCGAAACAGCTTGGAGCAGGGTGTCTCACCACTGTGCCCAGGTAGCTTAGTCCTGGTTCTGTGGTGGCTTTCTCAGTGCGGCACCAGAACAAAGCTCTGGGAGGGCAGAGCCATGGTTCTCCCTTCTTGATATGCCGACCAGCCAGCACCCACTGCATGGCCCAGCGCAAGCATCCGATCAATGTCTGGTGGGTAGGCACATGGGTGGGTGGGTGTGGGGTGATTTAATATGTGCAGGAATGAGTTCCTTGATAGTATAGCTTTGTTTATGTAATGGACATGAATGAATGCTTGCTGAATGCATTTATGATCCACATCCTGTTCTGCTTTTGGGGTACATGGTAATATAGCAGCCAAGGAGCCCAATGCTACTTTCTAGGTGGGTGAGTTGAGGCAAATAACCTACCATTTTTGTGACTCTATTTCAGGGGTAACAGTTACTCCATCAAAGGGGTTTTGTGCCCTGATCGGTTTGTCTCAGTGGATAGAGCATCAGCCTGCGGACTCAAAGGTCCCAGGTTCGATTCCAGTTGGTGGCATGTGTCTTGGTTGCAGGCACATCCCCAGTGGGGGTGTGCAGGAGGCAGCTGATCGATGTTTCCCTCTCATCGATGTTTCTAACTCTCTGTCCCTCTCCCTTCCTCTCTGTAAAAAATCAATAAAATATATTTTTTTTAAAAAGGGGGGGGGTCGTGAGGATTTAATGAGTTACAACATACAAAAGCCATAGAATGATGCTTGGCACCTAGTAGGTGCTGTTTGAAAGGTTCCCTTTATTAGTGTTATTCCTAACTTGTAGAACTGTTTATATCAATCAAGCAGCCAAGAAATATTTAGTTTGTGCCTTTTATGTGCTGAGCACATTTGCAGATGCTGTCAGAAATAGGAGACCCCCCCCCTTCTTTTTTAAATTCTCACTTGATATTTTTTTCATTGATTTTTAGAGAGAGTGGAAAAGAGAGGGAAAAGCGGAGAGAAACAGCAATGTGAGAGAAACACATCAATTGGTTGCCTCCTGCACGCGTCCTGACCAGGGCCCTGGCCAGGGAGGAACCTGCAACCCAGGTACATGCCCTTGACGGGAATCAAACCTGGGACCATTTGGTCCGCAGGCCGATGCTCTATGCACTAAGCCAAATCGACTAGGGTGACACATTTTTAAAAAATATGTTTTAATTGGTTTCATAGAGAGGGAGGGAGAAGGAGAGAGAGACAGAAACATCAATGATGAGAATCATTGATCGGCTGCCTCCTGCATGGGATTGAGCCCATAACCCGGGCATGTGCCCTGACCAGGAATCGAAACTTGACCTCCTGGTTCATGGGTCAAGGCTCAACCACTGCGCCATACTGGATGGGCAGAGACATATTTTTTAAATACAGAACTTGCTCTAACATTGCTATTAGAGGAGAGGAAGAGAATGACTTGGGAACCTGAGGACATGGCTCACCCCTCACACTGAGCAGAGCTGTCTTTTCTCCAGGTCCTTCGGGAGATATCAGCATTTGACGTTGTCTACACAGCCATTGTTATCTCTCACTCGGGCCGCATGATATTTGTGGGAACCTCAATGGGAACCATACGTGCAATGAAGTACCCTCTGCCTTTGCCGAAAGAGTTCAATGATTACCAGGCCCATGGCGGTCCTATCACCAAGGTGAGAGAGTCCCCTCTCTTCAGGGGTCCAGTCCCAGAACCAGCAGCCAGTAGATACATTTGATCCTGTCCCCACATACCTTCTTCACCCCATCAACCCCGCAGTGTCTTTTCTGTCTCCTTACTTGTTCATCCAGCCATCCCTTTAATAGACGTTTATTGGCTATTAATATTCTTTGTTTCACCTAATCACAGAAATTTATCCTAGGAGCCCTAACTGGTTTGGCTTAGTGGATAGAGCGTTGGCCTGTGGACTCAAGGGTCCCAGGTTCGATTCCAGTCGAGGGCATGTACCTTGGTTGTGGGCACATACCCAGTGGGGAATGTGCAGGAGGTGGCTGATCGATGTTTCTCTCTCATTGATGTTTCTAACTTTCTATCCCTCTCCCTTCCTCTCTGTAAAAATCAATAAAATATAAAAAATAAAAATTAAATAAAAAGAAATTTATCCTAGGAAATAATTGGATGCACCTAAAGATTTATGCACAGATGGTTCACCACAATATTATAGATAATAAAGGCCATTTGAGAGATGCTGGAGGTGCCTCACCCAGACCTACCCCCCGCCCCCCAAGTGCATTCCTTCCTCCCAGCTCTGAGTGTTGGTTGATCATAGCTCTCCACCTCCTCCACAGAAGGCCCTGGACTAAAAGGAGTCATAGCCCAGGAGATGAGCCCTCCCCCATCCTGAGACCTTCCTGGGGGTAACAACATGAGCACACATTTGTAAATTGTCCCTCCATTCTCCCTTCTAAAACAGCAGCGCTTCCATTTACATGGAGTTCTGAAGAACAGGCACTGAGAGAATGTGTAGCTCCTCCCCCCACCCCGCTCTTACTCCAGATTGAACAACAGCAACACCTGCGGCTTTTTACTAGGTCCTAAATCCTATTGGCTTGCCTGTAGCCACTGTCCTTACTAGGAAAGGATTTTTCATTATAAGCTGGAACATTCCTGTATTGAGCCAGTTCTTGTTCCAAAGCAGATTCCTATGACATAGTCCCTCCCACCTTCTCTTCAGATCTACTAAGTTTTATGGATAAGATGTTTTGTTTTCTGATTATAAAAGCAATGCATGTTTATTTTAGAAATAAAAGTCCTCATAATAATATCATTAATAATTGGGTGCATTTGAAATGTCTACTCTTTTATGTATATAGTGTGTGTGTGTTTTACAAGAATTGAGTTTATACTATATGTACACCCTTTTGTAACCTTTTAAAAAAACTTAATGCTATTATATTCAGTAATTAAATTGTCCTCAACAGCGTGATTTTAGTGCTACACAGATATTCTTTCATGTGATAACTTATTTAACTCTTCTCTTATAACTGGGTATTTAAGTTACCTTATAAACTCTAATGAGTGTTCTAGTCTACAGATTTCCAAGGGTATCTCTGATTATTTCCTGAGGCGAAGTTCCTAGACAGAAAATTCCTGAGGGCGAGAGCATGGCCATCTTTAAGGTTTTTTGACACATACTACTGATTGTGGGAAGATATTTTCATAGTTGGCTCTTTGTGTGTGTGTGTGTGTTTCATTTTGAAATAATAATAGATTCACAGGAAATTTTAAAGATAGCATAGAGGTCCTGTGTACCCTTCACCCAGTTTCCCCTAGTAGTTACACCTAAACTGACTATAGTACAATACCAAACCATAAAGTTGACATTGGGACAATATGTGTGTGTAAGTCTCTGTCGTTTTATCTCGTGCATAGATCTATGTACCCACCACTGCAATCAAGATACAGAACTATGCCACCATCACAAAGAGCTCCCTCATGCTGCCCTTTTATAGTCACTCCCAGCCCCCTCCCACCCCCAGCCCTAGTCCTTGACAGCCAGTCATTTGTTTTCCATTTCTAACATTTTGTCATCTTGGGAATGTTACATAAATGGAATCACACGTATGTGACCTTCTGAGAGTGGCTTTTCCCTCTCAGCCTAATGTCCTCGAGATCCCTCTAAGGCAGCGGTTCTCAACCTGTGGGTCGCGAACAATGAAAATACACCCTGCATATCAGATATTTACATTACAATTCATAACAACAGCAAATTATAGTTATGAAATAGCAACGAAAATAATTTAAAGGTTGGGGGTCACCACAACATGAGGAACTGTGTTAAAGGTTCGCGGCATTAGGAAGGTTGAGAACCACTGCTAAGGTATTTCATGTCTCAATAGTTTATTCCTTCTCCCTGCCGAGTGGCGTTCCATGGTAGGGCTCTACCATAGTTTCCCCAACCATCATCTATTGTAGGATATTTTTATTTCTCCCAGTTTGGGGCTATTACAAATAGTGTTGTAGGAACAATTATGTACAAGCTTTTGTGTGGACCTAAGTTTTCATTTCTCTGGGATAAATGCCCAGGAGCACCATTGCTGGATCATATTGTAAATATTTGTTTCATTTTTTAAGAGCCTGTCAGCACCAGCAGTGCTTGAGAGAGTCAGTTTCTCCACATCACAGCCAGCGTTCGTGGTGTCACTATTTGTAGTTTAGCTGTTCTAATGGATGTGTGGTGCTAGCTCATCGTGGTCTTAATTTGCAGCTCCCTAATGGCTGAACACCTTTTTGTGTCCTTATTTGCCATCTGTACATTCTCTTCTGTGAAATGTCTCCATATCTTTTGTCCACTTTCTAGTTGGACTGTTTGGGCTTTTTACTGTTGAGTTTTGAGAGTTCTTTGTACAGTCTAGATAATAACTGACTCTTAAAATTCCAAATCTACAGAGACCTAGTCTTGCTTCTTTTATTAATTACCAGGAACCCGTGAGGGCTCCTGTTTCATCCTTACCCAGCATTGCGTCTTCCTCCCCATGAGCTGTGCCTGGGCCTGCATGGGGGGGGGGGGGGGGG